TTGCATAATGGGCAGAAAAGTAAATTCAGAAAGGATCTTTGCCAACTTTCCTTGCTGTAAAAACAGTTAGCCAGACATTTGTAATTGTTATGAAATTTGTAGATTTCTTATACTTCCAACTAAAGGTATTTGTGAGTTAGAAAACTATAGAATAAACATTCAAAAGGGAATAGACCACACACTGAATGAGAAATCAAGTTTTCAGCTTTTAAAATTCTCAGATGTTTCTATTCTAGTTCCACCCATTTCTGGAAAAGAACAATTTTTGCAATCTTTCCCAGCGGAAATTGTACTTGGACCAAAATGGAGATGTAACAGCAGATCTAAACAGTATGAGCTGTGTGGTTCTTCCCCAGATGGATATCACTGTGGGGCAATTGGGGACTTTTGAAAGACAGAGACTTATTTTCAACCAAGATCATCTGTCACAGCTAAAATTGCTCAACAAGGTATAAGGAAATATTGGTCATTTTTCTTCTTCTTTCCAAGCTTTTCAAGTAGGTTAACCATGGTCACCAAGGTGGACGACCTTCATTGAGAATTGAATGTGGGAACATAACCATTAAAATTTTGTTAGACTGCTTGGGATGCTCCAGTACTATTCATAAAGAAGTCCTTCAGATGCTATAACATGGAACTGTTTTAAGCTCATGTAGCCATGTCCAAAATGGGTGGTGAGATTATGATTTTTCAGGACTTACAGTCCTTTGGGGTCCTTTCTGCAATCCAGTATAGAGAGAGAGGGGGGGAGGGAGGGAGGGAGGGAGGGAGGGAGGGAGGGAGGGAGGGAGAGAGAGAGAGAGAGAGAGAGAGAGAGAGAGCCTCAAGTGTTGGAGAATTATAGAACTGACTGTAGAATGTCTTCAAAGAAAATACCAGTAGGATCTGCAAAAAAATTTTTAAAGCATCCCAAAGATGCTTTTTCAGGAGGCAACTGGATTTTTTATTTTTTTCTTTGAAGATGTTTCACTTCTCATCTAAGAAGCTGCATGGTGGGGACTGGAAGGATTACCCTAAAGAGCTGAAGAAGCTTCTTGGAATAGAAGCGAAATGTCTTCAAAGAAAAAAAACAAGGAAGTCCAGTTGCCTCTTGAAAAAGCACCTTTGGGATTCTTAAAAAAATATTTGCAAATCCGACTGGTCCAAAATTTCTTTCTTTATCATAATTTTCTTCTCTTTTAACAAATCTAATAGAACAAAAATTTAATAAATATCTTAGAACAAATTTTATTGTAAAATTTAATTGCAATATTGATATTAATAGTCATATTTTTTTTAAATGGATGCATGAAGAATGGAGGAATGTATGTTAATAGGGCTGTGAGGAGCTGATTGTCACTAAATGTACAAATCTTTTCTCAATTCTATTTCTCCAGCCTTTATTAAGTAGAAAAGTCTTTTATTGCAATGTGATATGCCAGAAATAAATGGGATAAACTAAATGAAGAATCTGTCAGTAGTTGTATCTCCTCCAATAATTTGAAACTAGTTAGAAAATCACTACATATGGAGTGTATCTAAGGGAAGCCCAGGATCTACTTGGCTGATGTTCATGCCAACCTCCATTTTCCATAGATGGATGCTCCTGACCTATTTTCTCTGGAATTCCTTTTTCTTCGTTTTAGTCTTTCCCTCAATCCAAATGTGTGAAAAATTGTCATCCTGGATTTTACAAACAGACTCGGGAAGGAGAGCCAGTTTGCTGCTACGACTGCATTTCTTGTTCGGAGAAGACTATCTCCACTCAGGAAGGTAGGTGACATCAGAGGCAAGAATGCTGCATTCATCCAGAACATTTTGATCAATGTGCATATTAAAAGAGAAGCTTGACTGTTTTGTTGTTTATTTTCAACAAGCCAAATTTCTATTATAATGGGATGAAGTAGAAAAAAAATATTGAATGATGAAATAGGAAGAAATAGCAGGTCATGAGCAGGGGTGGTATTCTACTGGTTCGGCCCGGTTTGGACAAACTGGTAGCTCCAAGTGAGTAAACTGGTTTGCTCTGACAATCAGCTGCTGGGCCTGCCCACCCTGGCTCTATTCTGACCTTTATTTCTTGGTTTTCAAGCTCAGCTGCTTTGCATGGCACAGCGGATTGTCGTCCGTCAACTGTTTAACACACAGGGAGAGTGCAGAATTGCAGGAGAAGGTCAGTAGCAAACCCACCGTGCACACATGCACTCAAAGCGTGCCCACCAAGCCACGCCCACAGAACCAGTGATAAAAAATTTTTTCATCCCACCACTGGGTGATGAGGGATTGGTTAAGATTATTTGTGTTTCAGGAAATCTCTCTTCTATTTATCAGTTTGGAAGTGTCTTTCCATGTTAATCTTTCTTAGGAGCATTTGAATTGTTTGAAACTTGAGGAATGGCTTCAGGTCAATGACTCTTGCTTATTTGTACCAAATTAACCTTATAGGACAAAAGGGCATAACAGAAAGAGTTGGAAGGGACCTTGGAGGTCTTCTAATCCAACTTCATGTTCAGGCAGGAAATCCTATACTATTTCAGACAGAAGACTGTCCAATCTTCCTAAAATCCTCCAGTCTTGGAGCACCCACAACTTCTGAAGGCAAGTTGTTCCACTGATTAATTGATCTAACATTCAGTAAATTTCTCCTTAGTTCTAAGTTGCTTCTCTTCTTGATTAGTTTCTGTCATGGTTGCAGTAGAAGTAGCTTGCAGTACTGTACTCTAACCACTGAGCCACAGAGGCTCACTTGTGAATGAAAATACATTGCTCCATCTTCTCATTTTCAGAAACTAAAGATTTTGCAAAGACAGATAATGGACTCATCTTCTCTTCTGGAATTACTTCAGGAATTAATCTTCCTTTTTGTTTAAATAAAATTCAATTTTACATGGCCATCCAACCCACACAAAGTGCCTCTGGGTGGCATACAATAAAACCAGCAATAAAACATTTTACAAAGCCAGATTAAAACAATGAAACATTTTTTTTAAAAAAAATCAAAATTACAAGATGGGAATATGTGAAAATATTACACATGCGACCAGCACATAGGGTCCCTATTACCAGGGAATCCTCAAACTTCAACATCTTCATAAATGATCTACATAAGGGAATAAAAGGAAAACTCATTAAATTTGTAGATGATACCAAGTTGAGGAGAATTGCTGGCAAGAAGCCTTGGTGACACAGTGGTTAGAATGCAGTATTGCAGGCTAACTCTGCCCCACCCTGGAGTTCAATTCTGATGGGCTCAAGATTGACTCAGCCTTCCATCCTTTTGAGGTCAGTGAAATGAGGATCCAGATTGTTGGGGGCAATATCCTGACACTGTAAACTGCACAGAGAGTGCTGAAAAGCACTATGGGATGGTATATAAGTCTAAGTGCTATTGCTATTGCTATTACTATTTGGGAAGATAGAGTCAAGATTTAGAAGGATCTTGATAGACTTGAGCACTGGGCCAAATCTAACAAGGTATAGTTCAGTGGTGAAAAAAAATTGAGGTTCTACACTTAGGCAAGAAAAAACAAATGCAGAGGTATAGAATCAGTGATACCTGGCTCACCACTAGAAACAGTGAGAGGGATCTAGATATCCTAGTGGACCACCATTTAAGTAGACCAGAAGAACAACCAGGATAATTAGGGGACTGGAGACTAAAACATATGAAGAACGGTTGCAGAACTGGGCATGGCTAGTCTAGTGAAGAGAAGGACCAGGGGAGACATGATAGCAGTCTTCCAATATTTGAGGGGCTGCCACAGAGAGGAAGGGGTCAAGCTATTTTCTAAAGCACCTGTAGGTCAGACAAGGAATAATGGATGGAAACTGAACAAGGAGAGATTTAACATAGAAATAAGGAGAAATTTTCTGACAGTGAGAACAATCAACCAATGGAACAGCTTTCCTTCAGAAGTTGCGGAAGCTTCATCACTGGAGGCTTTTAAGAAGAGATTGGACTGCCATTTGTCAGAGATTATGTAGAGTTTCCTGCTTGGACAGGAGGTTGGACTAGATGACCTACAGTACAAAGTCCCTTCCAACTCTATTAATCTGTTAATCTATTAAAAAGGATGAGCCAGCAATGTGCTTCAGATGCAGAAAAGGCCAATGCAGTCCTCGGTTCATCAATAGAAGGATTGTGTCAAGATCATGACAAGTGATAGTGCTACTCTACATTATACTAGTGAAGCCATACTTGGAATACTGCATCCAGTTCTGTTCACACAATACAAAAAAGATGCAGAGACCCTAGAATGAGTGCAGAGAAGACCCACAAAAATGATATGAGATCTGGAGGTTAACCATATGATGAACAGTTAAGAGAACTAGGTATGTCTAACTTAACAGAGAAGGATTAAGGGTGACATGATAGTTATCTTACATTACATGAGGGGTGTCTCTGAAAAGAGGGAGTCAACTTATTTTCCAAAGCACTTGAGGGCAGGACAAAGAACAATGAGTGGAAGCTCATTATGGAGAGATACAATCTAGAAACTAGAATTCTTTTTTGGCCAAGGGTGATTGGACACACAAAGAATTTGTCTTGGTGCATATATTCTCAGTGTACATAAAAGAAAAGATACATTTGTCAAGAATCATAAGGTACAACACTTAATAATAATCATAGGGTACAATAATAACCAATCAAATCATACAAGGAAACAGTCAATATAAATTGTAAGGATACAAGCGACAAAGTTTCAGTCATACAGTCATAAGTGGGAAGGGATGGGTGATAAGGAGTGATGAGAACATTAATAGTAATAGTAGTGCAGACTTTGTAAATAGTCGGACAGTGTTGAGGAAATTATTTGTTGGCAGGTATTTGGGGGGTTGGATTTCATTTTTCTTATTGTATATGTGTATGTTTTTCTTGTATGTATATGTGTATGTATGAGTTCCTATTTAACATTTACAATGGCTTTCTGGTCTCTCATTATGACCTATCATAAAAGAAGGTCTATCTTCAAATATGAAAGAAAAGTCTACATAAGAAACATTACTTTCTATTTTCTCAGATACTGAAAAATGCACTAGATGCCCAGATGATCAATATCCAAATGAGAACCAAGTCAAATGTATCCCCAAAAGAATATCCTTCCTGTCCTATGAAGAACATCTGAGTATTATCCTCATCTCCTTTGCCCTATTCTTGTTCCTAACCACAGGCTTCATTTTTATCATATTTATTAAATACTTAGAAACTCCCATTGTCAAAGCCAACAACCGTGACCTCTCCTACATCCTCTTGATCTCCCTCTTGTTTTGCTTCTTGTCTCCTTTTCTCTTCATTGGTCAACCAAAAAAAGCCACTTGCCTTCTACGACAAACAGCGTTCAGCATTGTTTTCTCAGTTGCAATTTCTTCACTCTTGGCCAAAACAATCACAGTGGTTCTGGCTTTCCTGGCCACAAAACCAGGAAACCAAGTTAAGAGATGGTTGGGGAAGAGCTTGGCCAACTCCATCATCCTTTCTTGTTCTATTGTCCAAATTACCATTTGCTCCATCTGGCTGGGAGTTTCACCCCCATTCCCTGACTCTGACCTGCACTCCCAGCCTCGAGAGATTGTCCTTCAGTGCAATGAAGGATCTGTTACCATGTTTTATGTTGTCCTCAGCTACATGGGTTTCCTAGCTGCCATCTGCTTCTTGGTGGCTTTCTTAGCCAGAAACCTGCCAGGGGCCTTCAACGAAGCCAAGCTGATCACCTTCAGCATGCTGGTCTTCTGCAGTGTTTGGGTCTCCTTCCTGCCCACCTATCTGAGCACCAAAGGGAAATACATGGTAGTTGTGCAGATCTTCTCCATCGTGGCCTCCAGTGCTGGGTTGCTGGGCTGCATCTTCTTCCCCAAGTGCTACATTATCATCCTAAGACCAGATCTAAACACTAAGGAGCAGCTAATGATAAAAGTAGGGAATTGATAGTGAAATTGTTTCTTAGGCTCATAATATTTAACGCTTTATTGCAATAATTATTGGTAAATTTGTATGCTTCTTTTTATTCTGACAAGGTCATTTTAAACTGAAGGAATTAAAATTATTGATATAAGAATAATGAAATTTAGAGTTCCATGACCGTGTTGTTGAGTCATCAATCTCCCAAAACTAAATCTGGGCATGTCCCAACAAAATGACCCATTGTCAGATCTGCCTCCAGGTAGGTCCCTTAGGAAAGAAAGACCCTCAATTCGATTTGGTTGAAGTGATAGGTTGTTTTACTAATGGGTACTAGTTGCAGGAAAATCAGGCTAGAACTAAGTTTCCCATGGGAAAAAGATAGAAAATGCTTCTCCCCATGACCAGTCCATCTTCAACCAATGAAGATTCATGTAGGTGTTTTGAGAATACTGAGATGTTTGGGGTAATCCACATTCTTTCTCAGGGTACATGGCCTTGAGTGCTGGCACAAACTAGTTCTGAGCTTCTGTGTTCTTTATCAATCTGTCATTTCCCCCTCCCCATTTCCCATCACATACCCACACAAGTTTATTGCCCATTTATTCCCCACATGTTCCCTCCCTCCTAGCTGAAGATGTCAGACCTGACACACACTGCCAAACAGTATCTAGGAGGCTCAACACTCTGCAAAGAGCTGATTCCAGAAACAAAGAAGAAAAGAGCCTGAAACCAGATTGGTGTCTTATTCCCGCCCCCCACAAGAAAATCCCACATGATTCTCTGTTCCCCAAATTGGAAGCTCTCTTTCAATTTGTAAAACATTCCTATGCCTATTTTTGAGTTGCCATAAAGGGGGGGGGGGAGGATATCTGAAGGAGCAGTAGGGCAGTTTAAAACCAGAAGTACATTCCACACTTTTCTTACAATGATTGTAGCTAGGCTACCAGATCTTCTGCCCATGAAAATCCTTCATTGGAGAATATGATTGATGACACCCAGCCTGTGAACATGCTTCATTGAAGAATCTGATTTATGAAACACCCAGGCCTATAATTAGGCCTATTGCTCTCACACATAACCTTTAAATCGACTGATTTGCTATTACATTTATAAAATCAGAGCAAATTTAGCTTTTATCCACTGAGTTATGCTACTATCCTCTTCTCATTTAACTAGGTTTCTTTCTTTTTTTTGAACAAGTTTTATTCAATTTTTCCAAAACAAAGTAAAAAAGAGCTCTTTTCGGTGTACAACATAATTCCGAATCACCATTTTTACATGCAAATATGACAGTAATTATATATTCATTTTTACATTCAACTTCCTATCTTATCCATTTTTAACAATTCTATTATTACCTCTCCATTTTAATTTTCAAACAAATTAATTCTATTCATTATTATTACTTTCATGCTAAACATCTTTTCAATTCATTTCAATTTATTTCAAATATATTTTCCTTTTGGGTATGGCCTTTTCCAATGTATTCTTTTCTCATTTTACCTGTCCATTTCAACTTTTTCATAAGAAAAGGAACGAACAAATTAATCCTATTCATTAATATTACTTTGATTTTAAACTTCTTCTCAGTTCATTTTAATTTATTTCAAATATATTTCTTAAGCATTAACATTTCTTTTAAGCGTGGCCTTTTCCAAAGTACTCTTTTCTCATTTAAGTCACAAATAATTCCCATATCTTCATACTTATTCCCTTTTAATTCTTTTGTCTGTCAAATTTGCAATTCCATCTCATATTCTTTCCTTAACGTCTAAATTAATATAAGCTTTTACATGCAAAATAAAACATAAATTTCCCCTTCCCTTTTACTAATTTGGGGGTGTCACCTCAGTGGTTTAAATATACCTTAATTCCCTCAATTAAACATTTATTTTCATTAGTTATAGTAATAATAATTCCCTAAAAAAGAGATAAACTACTTTACATTGTACTTTTCAGTCAGGTTCCGCAATGTATCCCAATTTGGCCTCCCCATCGCCAGTCCCTCCATTTTACTTATTGCAGTGAGCACTACCAATACCGGGCCCTACAATTTGGCCTTTCATTGGCACCAAGGGTTTTTACTAAGGTCCTGGCAGCATTGGCAGCCCTCCTCTGAGCCTTACCTGCTACCTAGACAACATTCTGATTCAATCTACCTCCATCCAGGTGGCCGAACGAGATCTTCAAATCATGATGCAGGTGTTGCAGGAACATGGTTTCTCCATCAACCTGATCAAGAGCCATCTTTCTCCAATGACCTGACTGTTGCACCTCGGGGTCATCATCGACCCAGTCAGCTGCAAAGTCTTCCTTTCACATGACTGACAGGACAGCATCAAAGAGTTGATCAACAGAATTCAACTAAGTTGCTCTGTTCCACTCTCTCTCCTGTCCCAATTGCTTGGGAAGATGATCTCCTGCATTGAAATTGTGCCATGGGCACGCCTATATGCACACACCTTGCAGTAGTTCCTCCTCCCCTTCCAAAGAGAGGGGATCAGTCATTCTGCCCGCAGGGTGCTGCTTTCTCCACAGGTGCTTTGGTCCTTTTGATGGTGGCAGTCCCAGGCCATCACAAAGGCAGTCCCTTTATGATGAGAAGCAGAATTGTAGTGACCGCAGATGCCAGCCTTCACAGCTGGGGAGCACATGCCCAGGGCCGGATGGCCCAAGCACACTGGCCAACTTCAGACAGGTCCCTTCCCATCAATCTCCTGGAACTCAGGGATATTTTTCTCACCCTGAGAAATTTCCAGAACCTAGTGTCAGGGTCCCATGTGCTCGTCATGACAGACAAAATAGCAGCCAAGGCTCATGTCAACAGGCAAGGAGGGACTAGATCCAGGGTTTTGATGTGGGAGGTGGAACATCTGGGGAGATGGGAAGAGAGGAACCTCCTGTCTCTCAGGGTGGACCATATTTCAGGGGTTGACATCTCCCAGGCACACTGGTTGAGTCGATCTCAAGTTGAACACTTGAAATGGAGACTCCATCCTCCCTGTTCATAGAATTGTCCCACATTTTTGGAACTCCAGAGGTGGTCCTCTTTTCCATTCCCCAGAATGCACAGGTAAACAGGTTTTTCTCCAGATTCCTAACCCAAGGAGTGGAGGGGACCAATGCACTTTGGAGCAGATGGCCCCCAGGTCTCCTCTATGCCTTCCCCGCCCTTCCAATCTTCCCAGCAGTTTTCCAGAAGATGTTGGAGGAAAAGACAGAGCTGATTCTGCTGGCCCCATATTGGCCCAGGAGACCCTGGTTTGTGGACCTGGTGAACCTGTCTGTTCAGAAGCCTTAGAAAATCCCAGCCTCTCGAATCTCTCTCAGTCAGGGGGCCCTTCTGTATCTGGAACCCCAATGGTTCCAGTTGACCGCTTGGTGGTTGAGTGGAAGTTCTTGAAGGAGGCCAACCTTTCAGATATTGTAATTAACACAATACAGGCTTCACCTAAAAAGTCTACAACTGGACACCTGGAGGAAATTCAGTGACTGGTGCTCAGAGAGAGCCCAGAACCCCTCTTCAGCTTCTGTTCTGGAGATCCTTCAGTTTTTCTAGGACAGGCTGGACAAGGGCCTCGTGCCAGCACCCTCCTCAGACAGGTGGCGGCCTTAGCTTTGGTAATTTCATGGGACAGGTACACTCTGTAGTTTCTTCCCCAAACCCCAAAAACTTTAACCTTAGACTGTCTACTATTGACCTTACCCCTTTCCTAAGAGGTCTGTAGGGGGCGTGCATAAGCGCACCAACGTGCCTACCGTCCCTGTCCTATTGTTTCTCTTATTCTTTTATTTTTCTTATATGTACCCATTTCATGTATTCACAACTATGTATACATTTATACTTATTATCTTGTAAACAATTGGCAAATCAAATAAATAAATAAAAATAAAACATCCCTCTCCCACCACCCTTCGATCCACGGATTTCTGAGGGGAGCCTCAAACTGTGACCACCCATTGTGCATAGGTATTCCACTTGGGACTTGCCTAAGGTTCTCCAAGCTCTCCTTTTGAGCCTTTACGAATGGTAGGTCTCCGTATTTTAACTCTGAAGGTATCCTTCTTGGTGGCTATTACATCAGCTAGGAGGGTGTCTGAACTAGCTGCCCTTTCGGTAAGGCCAGATTTGTGTATGTTTCATGAAAACTGGGTGGTTTTGCATCTGGACCCTTCATTTGTACCAAAAATCAACTCTTGGTTTCACAGTGTTCAAGACATTGTACTCCCTGACTTTTGTCCCAAAACCCAACATGTAATGGAATGTCAGTGGCACACATTGGACATGAAAAGGATTTATATCAAACAAACTACACCTTTTCGCAAAACTGAGTGAATGTTTGTGTCTTTTCAACCTGTCTCCTTGGGGTCTAAGGCCTCATCTACCATATTGAGTAGGTAGATCAGAGCATGCATTTCTACTGCATATGAAACTCTTGGCTTGCCAGCTCCCAAGAAACTGACTGCACACTCTACCCGGAGTGCAGCGACTTCGGCAGCTTGGGCCATGCAGGCTCTGATCGAAGAAATTTGTAGAGCTGCTACATGGACCTCACCTTCTCTGTTTGTCCGACATTACTGGCTGGACTCCTTTGCATCTGCACAGGTTGCATTTGAACGAAGGGTACTCCAGCGAGTGGTTCCTGGGTCAGATTAAGAGGACCAGCCGAGTCCCTCCCTTGGGCATGCAGGCTTTGGTATGTCCCAATGCTGGACTCTAGAGCAGCATGACGGAGAAGGGGCATTGGTAGACTTACCAGTGAATGCCCTTTCTAGACACACTGCGATAGAGTCCAGCCCCACCCTGTGGCCGTCTGGTCTACTCTTCTTGGGTAGGGGGGTAGTTGTATGCACATTCTGTTTGTTTATATTCCAGAGACAATCCTGGTCTTTCAAGATACTTCACCAGAAAAGCTGGGGCTCTCAGCAGAGGCGAACCTTTTATGGTGGCAGACTCAGCTCACATCATAAGAGGGTGGAGTTATACCCAATGCTGGACTCTATCACAGCGTGTTTAGGAAGGG